TTAAGTAATTTAAAATTACAACGCTGGCAGCTTCGCTATCCTCTCTTTTTCGCTCTGGTTGCAAAAATTCACCATTTGTATTATGACACTGGCCTCCATCCTGCTGGGATTGTCATTTCTGAGCACTCTCTGAGTGGTTTAGTGCCGTTAAAAACTGAAACTGATCATTCATTAGCCCTTTGAGAAGAAGACAAATTAAGCCAATTAGGACTAAAAAAATATGATTTTTTAAGCTTGAAAGAAACGCTGAGCTTTATTCAGGAAGCTCGAGAGATTTTGCCCGCTGATTTACCAGATTATCAAGAAATAAACTTAGCCGAGGAAAAAACTTGAATATTGTTAAAAAACTTTCTCTTAACAGGCATTTTTCAGTTAGACACTCCCACCGCCCGCGTTTTATTTAATAGATTTTGCCCGCAAAACTTTGCTGAATTAGTAATTTTCCTAGCTCTCAATCGCCCAGGCACCAAAAAAAAAGCCGAAGAAATATCCCGCCAAAAGATTATCCAAGGAAAAATTAATTTTGCCTCGCCAGCAATAAGAGAAATATTAACCGAAACTTACGGATTTATTATCTTTGAAGAACAAATAAGCCAAATCTTTGCTTTTATTTATGATTGTTCTTTTGCCGAAGCGGAAATTAAAAGACGGGAGTTAGCCCACCAAGGTTTAGCCAAAGATTTTCTTGACCACGCCAAAAAAAAAATGTCTTTTTCGGAAAGCAACTCAATTGCCCGCCAAATTAGTTCAGCCATCGGTTATACTTTCAATAAAGCCCACGCGGTGGCTTATAGCTATTTAACTTATTATCTAGCTTACTTAAAAGCTAATTTTTTCCCCGAACTAATTACTTATTTTCTTAATAAAAAAAAAGAAAAAACTTTACCTTACCTTCAAGAAGCCTTTTTCTTCGGATTTGCCATAAAAGGACCTGATATTAATTACTCGGAAATAAATTGAGTGTGCCAGGATAAAGAATTAATTATGGGATTTAGTAATTTGCCCGAATATCGCGTTGAGTTTTTTCAAGGTCTAATCAAAGAGAGAAAAAAAGGAGGAGTTTATAAAAACTGAGAAACTTTTCTTACTAGAACTATTAATTATTGAGAAAAAATAGAAACAGCAACGTGGGAAAAGTGAGTAAAAAGTGGAATATTTACTAGTCTTTCAGTTGCTCCTGATACCTTACTAGATAATCAAGCGACCATATTTCGTTATTTACAGATAAAGCAAAAACTTTCCCCCGCCACTAATTTGCCATTTTTAGATTTGCCCCCAACAAACCTTGTTCCTAATATTAAAACGAGCAACGAAAAAGAACAAGCAAGTTTAGGTTTATACATTAGTTATTTTTCCCGTTGAAGAAAATTGGCGACGAAATTAGATTATCAACTGTCTTCTTTATTAGAGGTTTTTTCCCAAGCCCCAGCGTATAATAATCAAGAAATAACTTTAACTGTTTACGCGGTAGTTAGCCATTGCGAAAAAAAAGATAATAACAATTATGTCTTGTTGCTCCAAGATATTCGCAGTTCTTTTAAATTAATTAT